TTATGAGAGAGTAAAGACAGTTGCCAAAAAATATCTCAGAGCTAAGAAATCACATAGCCTGGTCTGCCAACGATGCTTCCTGGGCAAGGAAGGGGTATTAAAAGAAAGGGGGAAACACCAGATGTCCTAGTGTGGTGAAATAAATGAAATCAAGGTTTTATTAAAAAAACTAGCCATTTGCCTGTCAAGAATAATGGGGACGGAGGGGGAAGGGGCTGGGATGGAGTGCCGCCCCCTAATGCCCCATGCTGCTGCTCTTCTGACTCTTGCAGGGAGCCTTGGCTCCCCCACCCCATCTGGTCCTCAGCACGGCTTGCAGGGAGCGAGGTGGGGGAGCCAAAGCCAGCGCTGCTGACCTTGGCTCCCCCACCCCGTCTGGTTCTCCGCATGGCTTTGGAATCATGGCGGTGCCCCCCCCACGCTTGGAGCACTCTGATTGGCTGTTTGCGTCAGCCAGTCAGAGCACAAATAAAGCACTACAGACAGACTTAGGCTTTTATACTATTAGAATAATAGTGTAAGGCCAAAGAGATAACTGGATTCTCTTGTCTGACCTCCCATGCATCTCAGACACTTCATTTTCACCACATTACCCCTGTACTGAACATCCCAATGCACCTCTTCCAGAAAGAAATTTAATTCTGATTTAAAAACATGAAGGGAACCCATCATAACTTTTTCCCAAAAACCAATCTTCCCCTCTGTTATAAATATGCACTTTTATTCCTGATTTGAATTTCTCCAACTTCAACTCCAACCATTTCTTCTTGCTCTGTCTTTAAAGAGCCCTGATATCCAGCATTTTGTTCCCCCTGCCACCCCTCATAAAAGCATTTACTCACTGTAGTCATCTTGCCTCTCAAGCTACTTTTTGGTAAATTTAACATATTAAGCTCTTTATAGTCAGGAACGGGCACTCATTTCAAGAGATGGAAGTTTGACATCTTTCCAGGAGGGAGAGCAGTACAGGAGTTCAGCCTGCAGCTTACCCCTCTCCCCTGCTCTGAGTGCCTTCCCCAGATTAGGGCCATCCTGGACTGAGGAATTTGTGGGAAGCAGCTGCTGCTCCAGTCCCCTCTCAGGCCAGTTCAGAAAAGGACCAGAGTAGCAGGACAAAGGGTCCAAGCTATTCCCCAGATGCAGGGGTGGGGGGAGAGGAAGCAGCTGCTTCTTCATGCAGTGGACAAAACCCTGCCCACTCCCCAGACTGGGAAGCCTGGTTTGGGGAGGAGCCAGGGACCAATAGGTGGCTGTTCATTCTCTGCCAGTCTATGGGAGAGATGGGAACAGTGGGGTAATGCCTTCTGGAACTGGGATAGCCCCAGCTGTGGAAAGCACAGGATCCTTTCCCCACGAGGAGTCCACTGGCAGAGAAGCTTACAGGTGGAAGAAACTCTCCAACAGATGACAACTCCCTTGTTGAAAGAGGAAGATCCTTCCCCACAGAAGGCATTTTTCCTGAAGACGACATTTGAAAATGCCTGTACACTTGTGATTTCTGTTGGAAAACTGGTGATTCTCCAGCTAGAAATTTAAAGCCTATATGTGACCTAATTCTCTCACTGCAAGGCATTTTCTTTCAGTCCTCGATTCACTTTTGTAGCCCTTTTCTTCGCATCCTCTCCAATTTTTCAACATCCTTTTTAAATATAGACAGCATCACTTTAAGGAGTATTTTAGTATCACTCATGTCATTGCTATATACAGAAGAAAAAAAAAAATCACCTCTCTCTTCCCAGTGATTCATCCCCTGTTTACACCTCCAAAGATTGCATTAGCAATCTTTGCCACACCATCGCAGTGGGAACTTGGGAACTCATGTTGAGTTGCTTATTCACCACAACCCTTAAATGCTTTCAGAATCATGGCTTTTAGGAATACAGCTCCCTCTCCTGTAGGTACAGCTTGCACTCTTGTTCCTACAAAAATGACTGTGCCTTTGGCTGTATTAACTGCATTTTGTTTCAACAGGCCTAGCTTACCAACTGATCTTATTGCCCTGTATGACTGACTTATTTTCATCTTTATTTACCATCCTGCCAATCTTTGTGTCAGCTGAGAACTCTGACAGCAGTAATACCACAAAAAGACTCAAAGCAGCAAGGAAGAAGGGATAGCAAGCAGAGGCAGAGCAAACATTTTCATTCCCTGGTACTAAAAGAAACAACCAGCATCTTCATCAATGGTTTTGCACAACGCTTTTCAGAATCTACGTCTGGAGCAGTTTCGACACATAATCCTTCAGCAAATGCAGAGTTCCATGGCGTACCAAACAGAGCAATTAAAAAATATTTTTCTAAAGCAAGAGGAAATCAGGGCATTTAGTGCCTGTGAAGTGGTGTCATACTGATAGCCCAGAGAATATAATGCAGCTATTAATCCACAGAAATGGTCCACCAGGGTGACTCAGTCCTGGCCTAAACACTTAATCTACAGAAAGCTACAAAGTTTAGACCTCATCACAAATTTGATTCCTGGACTCTCCACTGATTTTGCACACAACGGTGTCTATCAGTGCTTACTTAGTTTAGCAATGTCCTTTAGCTGTCCTCTAGGGCCTGGACTGCGATCAAATTCATTTCATACAGAGCATCAAACAGCAAGATGAAGATAACCGATCACCTAGGCTGAACTTCAGCTACCCAAATGTGAAACGCTCTCTATTCTGTTACTGATCACCCAAGATGTCCAATCCCCACCCTTACAGCAATGTCTAGAAATAAGATTGGGGGCAGAGGGAAGAAGTTGTCATAAAAAAAACCCACCAAGTTCAGTAAGTTCCTACGCAAGAAAACTACAGGTAGCAAGCATATGTAGACCAGCAGTGAGAAAGCAGCTAAAACAATATTTCTAAACAGAACTCCGTCAGCCTCGCTTTGAGGCCCCTTCACGCGGTTTTAGGTTTCTTGTTCTATTTCCAGTTATCACAAGATGCTTGCACACGTGACGGGGTTTAGTTCTTCCTAAATTGAAACAGTGGGTTTTTAATTGTGTTGTTTAAAAACCCACCATTTCAATTTAGGGAGAACTAAACCCCTGTCGCATGTAAAAGGGTGAGGGGGCGCATCCCCTCCCTTTTTTCTCAGCGCCTACCTGCCTCTCCCGCAGCCAGCGGGGAAGACGAGCTGCCGGCGGTGGCCTGAGCGGTCCCTGAGCTGCGGGTGACCTCAGTCCTTCCCTCCACAGAAGCAGCACCCCCAGGTGGCATCAGCCTGCTAACACTCAGTCCAGGTGGTCCTAGGGGGGCCGCCACCGTGGAGGGCAGCACTGGGCCCTGAGCAGCTTAGGGGCTGTGCGACCCAGCGACAGCTCACGCAGGCAGGCTCTACTGAAGAAAAAAAAGTGGCGAGGAACCTGATCTTTTATTTTTCTCCCACAGCCTGCCTGACTGAGCTGCACAGGGCCCAGTGCTTCCCTCTCTGGCGGCAGCACCCCCTGGGCAGTACCCACCCGCCAGCAGCCCACCCGGATCAGGCTCCTCACTGTGGGGACGGTAGGCAGGGCGCTGGAAGCCCGCCAAACCCAAGCTCCTCCAAGCACATCAGCTTGCAGTGCCCTGTGCACTGTTGCACTTTGTTACATAGCAAACTAAAATACCTTGGAGGGGTTTACCTTTCTACATAACGAATTCATTTAAAGCGGAATACGCTGCCCAGCGTGTACATCGTCACAAAATTACAGCAGAATATGTCGCCGAGCGTATAAATAGCAATGCCATTAAAGCGGTGGAAAAGGGCAATTAAGCTTCTTTAAAAGCCAATTTTGTTGTGTGTACAAGTACCCAAGATCCAGTCAGCTTTCATTACATTAACTTGAAAATTAGCTACACACTGCAGCATGACTTAGCTTTCCATGCTAAATTTAATCAATCATAAATAATGAAACATAGTTATCTTTATAGCAAGAGTATTGCAGAATACCCTGAAAAAAAAAATCAACAGATCTGTGCTATAACAGATGACAAGCAGAGGGGCAAGGGTGAGAGAAGCATCCGAAGAGGATAATTCAGTAGTAATATTTTAAGATCCTGACAAATATTGCAGCAGTTTTCTCACTACTGATCCTTAGAAGACAGGAAGGAGCAGCAGAGAAAACCTCCCCCAACCCCCCAAAAAAAACCCAACAAAAAACAAAAAACACCTTTTCCTGTTACTCTAAATTAAACATGTTGCTTTTATGTGTATGTACAGACTGGGCAAGTGATTCAACAGAAAAGTACAGCTGGCAATGTAAGAACAGCCACTTTGGGTGGCCAGAACCTTTTAACCTTCTGTAGCTAGACACAGGAAAATGGAAAAGCCAGTCTGGGAGTTCAAACAGTGTCTTCCAACTTAAGCAACACTGGCCTTTACATATTTCAAAAAAGAGAGAATACAAACTATCACAATTAAATAAGAACTCAACTGTACTTTGGAAGCTATTTGTAAGTTTTGATCCTTGGTCTAACAATGTATTGTAAAAAGGTAATGCTAATTCATCTTATCTATATTTAACAGCCAACAAATTTTTATTAGTTCAGTTTGGCATTCATTAATTAGAATGAATTCTGGCAATATTAAATATGAGATCTGTGTTGGCAAATGGAAGCCTAGCGCACACAATTTATCTGTACAAAATACATGGGGCGTTTTTTAGGTTTTGTTTTCTGCTTGAAGAAAAAAAACTAGCAACCAATGCCACTACTATCTAACATGAAGAGTAGAAGCTCATTATACCACTTTGGGCCAAAGTTTTGCAGGCCTCCAGTAACATAACTTACTACACTAAGGCATGCTTATATTTACAAAAATTATCAAGTATGTAATGATGCCTATTTTGTCAATACAAATCTAGTCACAAGTTCAGTGTAATGAAAGAAACACGATCAAGATACTAAATCATTTATACTCCACTGTTCCATGAAGGTGCCTCTTCTGTATACTATATTACACTGAACACACCAAGATGCCACAGATTAAGCCCATCTGCTGAAATATTAAAGAAGCAGTACAATAACTTACAAGATTTTCCATGTCAGTGCGGGCCAACATGTATGTCCGAACATTGCTGTTCTGATGCAGTAACATGTATAAAAGGAGAGTCGCTTGATCAGATTTCTGCTGTTCGCACAAAGCTGTGTACAAACTGTTAAAATTAATCTGGAAAGCATGTGGACTTGGTGAAGGAAAAGCAGTGCTATCTGGAATAAAAAGGGCAAAAACATTTAAAAAATATTTAAATCACCCAGTTATGTTCGTTTTACAAGCACTTAACTAGTGTTTGAACAGGTACCACAGTAAGAACAGGAGCTGTGCACAACATTTTTCCGCAGAAGCCATGACAACCATCCTTGACTCAACTTTTACACATACTTAAATCTCAATGCCAAACTCATTCAATTATTGCATCAGAAAGGTACAATTACTCTTCCAAATGAGAACTGGTAACCTTCCTTCCCCAAGTTTGCCTTCTTTGCTCCTCCTGCCTTCCTCACAAGGCATCCCTGGACCAAGCAGTCTTACCCTCTCCAGGGCTTCCCTTTAAGGCTACAAGTCCACTTGAACACACATGGAAAGGTTTGTTTGCATTCCCAATGAGTGATACCTCAGGGTTTGGATCACAGGGCTCCTGCTGAAGGCAAAGCTCTTGCTAAAGGCAATTATAGATTGTTTTGGTTGTTAACAAACAACCAAAGCAATCTGTATTCCATGGCAAATTTACAGGCCTTGTGGTCTGCAAAAGAAAGGTGTGTGTGTCTGGTTTTTGTAAACTGGTTTAGACAATGACATTTTAAATATCACTTTGCACACTTTAACACCTTTAAAAATCTTGTTAAGATGGTCCTAGTATATAATGAAACTTAGGCTAGAGGTGGAAATGGAACCAGAATGGAAAACAGCATGTTTACTAGGGTTGTGTGAAGCTTCAGTCCCTGATTCAATTTGGTGGAGATTCAGCCCAATTCGGTGACCGAATCTCTGAATCTGAATCAAATCAGAGGACCCTTTAAATCTCTCTGAATTGAATCAGAGCCCTCCAAATCGGTGGTGATTCGGATATGAGCACAGCTTTAAATGTTTTTTCTACATACCTCTAGGTAGCAGGGGCTCGTGAGTGCTGCAGTACTGGGCTGTATGGAACATCCCACAGGAGCACAGGGGGCTCCCCAGTGCACTTTGCAGCAGACCCAGAAGTGGACCAGAAGCACTTCCAGTCCACTTCCGGGTCTGCTGGGGAGCGCACTGGGCACCCCCCCCACCCCACCCCCCTCCACCCCCCCCT